TATAATGGTAACAATGAAAAGTGCAGATTAAATAAAATAATAAAACTATTATTTGTAATAATAATAATGTAATTGTAATAATGTAAAGCTAAGTCGGTAGGAAAAAGAAAATATCCAATAGACTTTTAAAAAAATTCAGATAGTAAATTGGACAAAATAATCATCAAAAATAAAAAAAATAGATAAAATTCTTTTGAAATAACAAAAATGCAAAATGACACTGACACAAACTCATAAAAATAGAATAACTAACTATAAATATAAAGATTCAAAGTAAAACTGGAAGGGTTTAAGGGCAGCTGGCATCCTTGTACATGCAGTGCTGCCATCTTCTGTTTCAGTCCGTTATTACACTCTTAAATCCTACTACTTATTCCTGCGTCTTTTTGTGATCTTACAAAGCTTCAAACGACGCGTCGACTATTAAATCAGTCGTCGACGATTTTGATAGTCGACTAATCGTGTCAGCCCTAATCTACACATGTACACTTTTTTTTTTTACTCATCATGAATCACTTAGAAAACACTATCTAAAAAGATTATAGTTGTGGTTAAGGTAAGGGATAAGGTTATGGTTAGATTTAGGGCTGGAATACACGGCTGGAACGTGTGTTAACACAGGGAGCTTCGTTCTGTTGGATTGGATCCACAATCTGACACGTATCAGAGGAACGCTCCTATGGGAAACCTCGGGACAAATTGTCGGTATGCTACATGTTGGTAATGAGAACGATCTCATCAGGACAAATTAGATGAATATCAGCTGTGGATGATGAGCCCGGGGTATTTTTGATGTTGTTGATGATGTGCCGTTTTTAATTTTTATGTAAGTATTATTTATTTTTCTAATTTAATGATTTTCCTCCATGAGAATGACATTTTTATTTTTAGGAAGTTGAGAAATCCATCATACCTTAACTTACAAAGAAGGACTCCCATCCTCGTTCTCACAGCGCCAAATCCAGCTCATTAATCGAACACTGATATCAGAGCAGTGCATGGTGTAAACTGATACATGTTATGCATTTTAAAGGACACAGGAAAATTAAAGAGAAAATGAAAGGAAAGAAGTGAAGTGACCAGCTGTCACTCCTTAATTCTTTTTTTTCTAATAGAGCATTATAGAAACCCGTAGCCATGACGACTACACTCTGGTTGGTAATTTATTGATGTGTTTCTTTACTAATGATTGTTTGTTCCCTG